TATATATATATATATATATATATAAACATTATTTGGTTAACAGCATTTAATTAAGTTGTCTTACCATATGAAATAACATTATATTTTGAAAGACAATATATGTAAAGAGTTGTTATATTTTTAAGTTTTAGTTTTAAAGTACAATTCTAGTAGCAACACCTAGTTTTGTTTATTATATTTAAAATAACAAATTGTAAAAAGTTGTTTTGAAATAAAAAGAAACGTCCTTCATTAGATGATATTTACCAATAAAATGATGTCCATGCAAACATCAATTACTATAGCCTATAGAATATTTCGTTTATATGATTTAGCTATTTCTATTTATTTAGTCTAAAATCTATCACAGATATGATACGTTAAAATGTAATTGCTTAACATATTTGAATACCAACTACTTTATTTGAATATCAAGTCTGTGTGATGCTATATTTAAAATGCATTAAACCAGCATGATTGCTGTCATTAATGCAAACGATTATCAATAAGTAATCAATAAATGAAACTACTTATGCTGATTCTTACTGGCGCAATGTTTGTTCCAGCAGCTTTGAAGACGTTTTGACCTCGGACATCAGAAGACATTCCCCATTTTTCTTCTCACACATTCTTGCGCTCCGAAATCAGCGAGGAGGAGCGTCTGTCCCTCCGCTTGCGCCCAATGGAACAAAGAGCAGCGTTATCAATGTGCACGCGTTCAGCCAATAGGAGCGCTCCGCTTCTGATGACGCGACGCGACGCGGCGGCTCTGGTCTCTTCCCACTGCGCAGGAAGCGAGACGCGCAAAAGCACCAAGTTAAACGCAAAGGTAACGCGGCACACGCAACAGCAAGCAGCAGTTTTTTTTTTTACTGTAACCGCTCGGAGTTTCCCGCGAATGCAAGAGGAACCGTCTCGAGCAGAATGAATGGTTGGTATCGATATTACTTTTTTTATTATTATTATTATACGAAAAACACTTTGCAAGTCGTGTTAGATGTTTATCGTAGTTTTTGAATAACATATCGCTCAGAGTTTTAAATCAGATTTTGTTTTGATCTTTACTGAGGTATTCTGCAATAACAAACGTTTAAAGCTAATTATATATATATATATAAAAACTTTTTTGTATATTATAGGACTATTTTATAGTAGGCTAGGCTACTATCGATTTTGTGTATTCTTACGTTATTTTTAAATTTGAGTTGATTCATTTCACTGCTTGTCTTTTTTATGAAATAGCCTACATCTGTTATGTTATAGCCTAAACATTTTCGACCTGATCTAGTCCAGCGTAAACCTATTGACCCGTTCAAGAATTGTATTATTTCAGAAAATTGTATATTTTCAAAATAATCTCGATTTTATTTTAATATTCTAAGGAGATGTATTCTCATCCCATGTGAAAATCTGATGCCATTTGTCTGATTTTGTGTAGAATTTTGACTCGTGCTCTAAAGTTGTGACAGCCTGTGACCTGTGTCAAACAGTTGTGTGTTTGTTTTTCTTCATTAATCATATGCAGACTTCCATATGCATGTTTAAATGCGGCTCATAAATATAAATAATGCTTGTATTAATATTAATTTAACATCTTGAGAGCTGGGAAACCTGAGTTTAGAAAAAAAAAAGGCTTATTTAGATTGCAATGCATTGCAATGAGACCTTGCAAGGCTGTTTGATGTCTGAGGGTCTTCAGATGTTTTTAATTAGGACCTGTAAAAAAAATCAGTCTGTCCTGTTCTCCGGGGCGATGCTTTGAAAAAAAAATTTTTTTTTTAAATAAATAAACAAAAAAGGCAGGAGAACACAGAAAGTCACTTCAGTGGAGGATCGGCTAGTCAAATTTTTATAGCATTTTCTAATTTTTCCCTCTCTCTCTACCCTCCCTCCCTCCCTTGCTTTCTTGATCCCGGTGAACGAGTTTCTCTTTGTCTGCTTCTTTGGTAACCACACCTCCCCCCCAAAACGCAGCCGGCTCAGACACCTGAAGGCTAGACATAATGATCAACGCAGTCCCCATGAGTCTGGATGCCTGCCAGTTGTTTTCGCTCTTTTTTTACACTACTTTGTCTCTTCTTCTCTTTTTTCCCCCTTGCATCTCTTGCCCTGCACAATCAAGGGGCCAGCGCTCAATGTTGGGGGCCAGTATGCAGTATATGAGGGGCCAACTCTTCTGCAATGTATGGACCACGGAGAAAGAAGTCTGGCACACATGCAAGGAGAAGCATGAACAGCAGTGTCTCCTTGTGTGTGTGTGTAAGCGGGAGTCTTTATTCAACCGTGCTGTTCAAAATTGCATATCAAGTCTCTTTTTTTTTGCCATACAAGACCTGTATTCAGTGCATGTTTTGCTTTCGTAAAGAGCAAGGTTGGCTTATTAAGATCCAGATACTGTTGGTTTTCTTTAATCTGTGGATTAGACAGAGCGTTGGATTCTCAGCTTGTTTAAGTGCTTTGTCTGTGTAAGATTAGGTTTACCGCATGTGAAATTACGTACAGTGAGGCGTAATAATCCAAGAATGATTGTGCGATGAGGAAAGCTGAAAGGATGCAGTTGTGGGTTGATAAAACACCCTTTTTTGTACAGTACCATGAACAGTGCATTATAATTTTAGAGGAATTGTGTGTTGAAGACTATTACAGTTGACAAAAAAAATGTAAACTAACAAAATGAATAAAAACGGGACAAAAAGCACAATTAATATTAATGTTTGTTTGATTTCAGTGTAGGATTCAATATGGCAATTTAAAGTGTAAGTGCAAAAAACCAATCTTTGTTAATTTTAGTAGTATTTTTAAAATTATAGTTATCCTTACCACACCCAAATCTCTCTTACATTTGAATTACATTAGTGTCTGATTCAGCAGAATGAGTGTCCCAAAAAAATCGCCATTTTGTCTCTAGCTAGTGCACTTTGATTTGCTCGGCGTGCAATATTTTGGATGTAGCCTGCTTGTGTTTTCTCACACAGCTCAGAACCGACATGTTGGGAGTACAATGGCACTAAGTAGACGGCAGATCCTTTCTTTCTCGCTCTCCTCCTCTGCCATAAGCCTTTGAAGGGGTGTAATAAAAGGTTCAATAGAAGCAACAAGCTGTTTTTTTCTCTCCTCTCACGCGTTCTTTAGGCATTCTACCTGCGCATGAATAGGAGGCCACTGAGACTCTCTGACAGAGGAAGAGTGTTTATTGAGGGCTAAAGGGCTCAATACAATCAGACAGCCTCACGTAGAGAACTGCGCGGCTTGGGCGAGAGGCCATGGGCGTGTGTTCTCCCTAGTGTCACACCCATTGACTCCGTTTTGAGTGAACGTTTTTGGGCTGCCAAGAGGAACATTGTATAGAAACGCAGACTGTGGATATAGATATCAAGTATGTTTTTAGTAGATGTATTTTTGATCATTGCAAAGACTTAAAAATTAAAGGTTCTTTATTGGCATTTATGGTTCCATTAAGAATCTTTCCATTCCACAAAAGGTTCTTTAGATTGTTAAAATGTTCTTCACACTACGAAAAAAAATGGTTCTTTTAAGAACTGTTCAGTGAAAGGTTCTTTGGGGAGCCCAAAATGGCATCTCTTTGCAAGCTTTATTTTTTAGAGTATAAATGTAATTAATTATTCAAGAAGAGATTGATAAACGCTTTTGACTTTAGTACCATCAACACCGATGAATTCTGGGAGTGATTCGCTATTTTAATGAGCAGTTTTGATTTTCAGTTGCAGTTTTAGTTTGTAATCCTTCACACAGTTGCTTGCTTAAAAAAAAAAGGAGAAAAGAAAGAGGAACTGATTGATTTTTAATATGTTTAGTTTTTTTTTTTTTTTTTGGTAGTTTAAGAAAAGAAACAATATTAAAGCACTGAATATTGGTGTGGACATGTCCCTGTCAATGACTAAGGTGTATCAAGGAATAATTTGCTCCCAAATTATTTGTTCCAAATTTTTAGAAATATTATCTATTCACACTGAAGGTTCAAATTTTTGGGTGATCTATCTAAATTTTAAGATTGCACCTTCCTGACATGTCAAACAGCATCAGTAAAATGGGTTTATAAAGAAATTCGGATTACACCTATACATATCCCTCCTAAAAATGTCATACTTTTGATGAATATCATCTTATGTAGCAGTTTTCAATTCAGTGTGTATAGAAATACTATCCATTATGTCAGCTAAGCTTAAACTACACAGCCCAGCATTAAAGGAAAATATGTAATAATATTTATGCTTGCTGAATTATGGGGTGGAATTTGAATGGGGGGGGTTCTTGACTTATTCCTCTTGCGCTCAGTGTGAAAACGCGTCGCCGGGTAGAGGTTAATTGTTTTTAGATCTTTATGTGTCAAGAGAAAATGGAGAAACTGGTGCTCCTGGTCGTTTGAGTGATTATGGATAAACGCGCCTCTCCAAAGGAGAAAGACAGCGAGGGAAGGAGCGAAAAGAAAGGAAGAAAAGACCCATGTTGTGAGCTGCAACCACAGGGGTTGTCTGGTCTTTTCAGAGCGAGAGGGAGTGGAGGCTTGTTTAGTCAGTGGCCCTTGGGGGCTTGACCTTTGACCTGTGCCATGCCCCTCTGTGCTCCAGCTGCAGGTCGGTTCTCCACGGTTTTCATCGCACAAACACACTCCAGAGGGCTGGGGGTAATGTTGCGTGATGCCTTTTTATTTTTTATTTGTACGAGGTGTGGCTGAGACCAAAAGGGTTGCGAGGGTGGGAGGAAGAACCTACTTTTCTTGTAGTGTTTGTTAAAACAGCCTTGAAGTTCATGGAAGGCACAAGTAAAGATAATTCAGTGTTGTAATATTCATGAATGCATTAATCAGGAGGTTGTCATGTATAATTATTACAGTGTTTGATAATGCCAGAGCAAATCACCTCAGGCAGTGGTGATTGCTGCCTGATACTATTAATGTTCTTTAATAAAATGCCCGTGTGGGCCGAACCATCAGCGCAGCCCGGTAGTTAAGTGCTGTAAGGTTAATGAAGCAATTTACATATGTTCTGCCGCCATCTGGACGCAGTAAGAGACAGCTGCTTGCTCTTATTTCATACTGCGTTTTGGGAGCTAACCCGCAGAAATGTCATTCCAGTACATGCAGAGAGCTTGTTGAACACTTTTGACTTTTGTCCCGTCAACACGGATGAATTCTGGCAGAGATTTGCTATGCTAATGAGAAGTTTTGCTTCTCAGTTGCAGTTTTCGTTTTGTAATCCCCCACACAGTAGCTGACTTAAAAAAAAAAAAAAGGAAAAAAGAGGTACTGATTTGTTTTTTATTTGTTTTTGAGTAGTGTGCATGCTAATAGTTCTTAAATTTTTTGCTTTATCATGTGGTATCAGTTGTACATAAGGTTGGTTGTTATAATTAGGTGTGAGCAAAACCTGATTTTAATTCATTTTTTAAAGTCTGAGCTCATTGTACATGGTGTGTACGTGTTCAGATAAGTCTTTAATGGTTTTATAAGTCATCAATCACTGATTAAATGACTGAAATTGAACCAAAGAAGACTGGAGATATGACTTACCATAAACTAGAGATCTAGGTCACCAGTTTTAAATTTCCCCTTTATCCCGTGTTTTTTCCTCAGAAGCTCTTTCACTTAGTGGTTCTTGACTTTTTTTTTTTTTTTTTTAGCTGGCAGACCACTTAAAATAGTAAAATAAGAACTGCAGACCCCCTAACACGCTAGCTACCTTAAAACAATTATGTATAGTTTTAAATAGTGCCCAAATTATCCTTCATTTTCACCTTTATGCTGACATTCTCTCATTTTTACTCATCAATAATGTTGCTAGATGGTCATTTTGTTCGTATTTCTTTAACTGGATGACTTCTTTTAGCTAATGAACCAAAATGCTAAGCTAAAAAGTTTGCTAGCTTAAGCTAAGAAGTTACGTACGTATAACTGTCAGGAGTGAAACAAACAAAAAATATTTATCACAATTTTCAGTCAGTTCACATTATCAGTCACTTAATTCAGGGTTGGTACTTTACGCCAATTATAATGATTTATTTAATCTATTTTTTTTTTTTAAAGTCCTTTACCGATGTCACCAATTTGAGAACTAGACATACAAAAACCTTTGAAACTATGCTGTATCTTGTAGGCCAGCATTTTAAATAAACAGCTTTATACCAATTGCAGTCGTTATCTTTCTTTAACAGCGACAACAAAAAAGGGTCTCTCGTTCCACGGGCCTCCTCATATACAGATAATTTCACACCACTTCCTCCGAGGACTGGACAAAGAACAGCCACTCTGCAATCGATAACCAAGCGAGAGAACGACCGAGGGCTGTTAAAGATTTGCAGTTTGGATCCGAAGTAGGTAGGCACAACCAGGATCCCCTCCGATGACTGAAAGCAAATAACTGTACTGAGCTATCCGTAAAATTGCAGAGATGGACCGTGAAAGGGGAAGGCAAAACTGTGGAGTTGGTGGATTCCTGCTGGCTCCGCTTCAGGCTAGGTAGACTTAAGCGACAAGCATCGAGGGCTCGCCGGTGAAACCTGACAGCATTTTCCGACAGGCCAAGAGAAATGGTGGAATTAATTTGCTGTCGCCTCTGTGTGCCGCTTGATTCTTCAAGCCTCTCTCAATCCAAGCGATTAAAAAATTATCCTGCTCGAAAACGACATTATGTTAGATTTAGCAGACGTGTTTGTTCCAGTTAGGAGATCGTGCAAAAAGGAAGATGGGAATTAACTCTCATTGTCAGAAGCTCAATCCAAGATGAAAGTCGTCGAATGCGCAGTTTTTACAAATTCAGCATTTGTCCGGTTTTGTGGCTCTATCAAAGCAGAACAGCACCAGGGAGCCTTTATTTGCCATCAGTTGTGCTGCAATGCAAAAGATATAGTATCATTTTATTGTTCGGCTGTTCCTCATTTCAATTTGAGACTCTGTTGTGTGATCCATTCAGTCCAATTCTAGGGGCCAGTCCAACTTTCAAGTTGCAGTTGATTCATTTAATGTCTTTGAACCCTATTCATGTGTTTGCAAAGTGAGCTAAAGACCTGCGAGCAGTAAACTTCAAAGCACTTCCATATTGTACTTATTACAAGAAGTGCAACCAAGCATTAGTGGCTCTCGTATCCAAAGCATTTATCCCTAGCTAGCAGAAAGGAAGCTCAAATTGGCAAGCCATTGGCGTCAACACTCTGTGCAACCCTTCCACAATGAATAAACCACCAGAAGGTTACTTTGTGTTATCTGTATGGTGGCACAGCCAAATTCTTGGAGGATGTCTTGCTGAGATCCTTCGCCTTCAGTTTTAGGACTCTCACAATGGATAAATGGGGAAGAAGTTTCATAGTGTGCAATTGTCCATTTTGTTATTGGACTTGGTGCTGATCGTTTTCTACCCTGATTGAGGCAAAAGATGTGCCATTCACAAGAACATTGACTCAGTTTGTTGGTTGTTTCTTGGGTACTAGATGCCAGTTTGATGGATGTTTAATTGAGACATGGTGGACAATGAACTTGAACCCCCAAGGGACCATTCAATTAGTTTAGCACCACTGCCGAAGCCTCCCTGTTTTGTCAATGTGAGTACTGGGATTAGTAATCTCAAGAGGTTTTCATGGTCTGTTTACGAATGCATCCAAACTCCCTGTGGTCCTGCCCTGGTCACCTCCTAATTTGAGTTAAACAGTCCTTTTAAAAAACATTTGTGCTGGAGTAAATTTGACGTGTGACTATTGTCAAGCTCCCCCCTATTTACTTGTGGCATTGCCTTTGTTAGCATTTCAGACTCGCTTAGGGTGCTAGTCATCAAAATTGACTTGTCATTGAAACATTTCAACATTTTCACCGTATTTCAACTTCCTAGTACAGAGCATTCACTTCTTTTCTCAACTGCAATTTTATAATGTGCTGTATTGAATTTCCTCATGCCCTAAGCCTTTGTGATCAAAAAATCATGAAAAATAGTTAAATATGCATATTATACTACATGTATTGTTGTGATAAAATGGATAACACAAAAGAGAGATGTTTTTAAAATCAGTATTATATGTCAGTGTTTTAAAAATGCTTTTCAGATCCTTCCTATGTCAAAGACTAAGAATGTTAAGTACAATCTTGAATTATTCCACTCAGGGTTTATCCAGGGATTGCCTGATGATTGTGGAATTAGCACAACCACTACAGGAGAAAACCACTACAACATTTCTTTCTCAGCTCTGACTACTCATGGCTACAAGTTCAATTCAAGTTTATTTGTACAGCGCTTTTCACGATACAAATCATTGCAAAGCAACTTTACAGCAAATTAAGTTTCTACAATATTTAGTGGTAGATTATCAGTGGTGACTGTCAGTTAATGTACATATGGCAGAAATGTACGGAAAAATCAATTAAACTGATACGTAACTTAATAGGTAGCCAGTGCAGAGACTGTAAAATTGGGGTAATATGATCATATTTTCTTGACCTGGTAAGGACTCTAGCTGCTGCATTTTTTCAACAACAAGTGGATCTGAACGATTTATCTTGAGTTGTGGAACAATGCTTGTGATTTAAATACCTACAAGTACACCCCCTACTGTGTGAACGCAAATACTTCGAGCTATGCAGACTTTGTACTCTTAGCATTGCCACAAGGGGAGCTGTAGCCAGCTTTATCAAGAACTGTCTTCTACACACTCCTCATGTTTAAATCTAGTTATCTGAGACATGTCTTTCTAGCGCACATGCCTTGAATGTGTTCCTGGCCTATTCATGCTGTTGGGATTTTGCATGAAGGCACAAGTCTAACATGGAAGGAGTGAACATGATGTGTTTTAAGGTCTTTAAGATGCCTGCATCTTTTCCAAAGTAAAGGGCTACCATGAACATTGGCATTAAAATGAAACAAACCATAAAATGTATTCCCCCAGCATTGCAATAAGTAGTGCCATAATGGGCATTAGCATGAAATACGACATACTCTTGAAGTGTCAATTTGTTTACAGCTGGCTAGTTAGTACCTGAATAAAGTCATGGTTTAAAGTCATCATGACATCAAAATTGACTTTTTTTTTGTTGAAAATTTCAGTGTTTATTATAAATAATTTATCTGTGTACGTCACAATTTCATAATATACCTTCGTAATATCTAACGAAAAACAATTAGCAAACAACAACAATCTAATCAATTCCCATTTGACAAAATCAAGCCCCATCCTACATTTTGTTCATGTTCAAGAAGCGGTTTCACTCAGAAAAGACGATCGGAAATTACGTATATTTCATTCCGTCTTTATCGCCCCCTATAGTACTGAAGTTTGTTACCTCTAAAAGTAATGCATAAAAACATACATGTACAATTTGTATGCATACTTGCATAGAGTATGTTTCTAGCCTGCTAGTGCCTTTTGTACAGACCAATTTAATGTTTCCAAAATATAGGCTACATAATTTGTGTTTATGCTAATGAGAATTTTTGTTACGTAAAAACAGAATGCTCTGTGTTTATTTTCGATTGGTTTTTAATTAGTTTAAATATGTTTTAAATCTGTTTGCATCTTTCCCAAGATAAATGGCTACCATAAACATGGTCATTAAAATAAAGCAGACCATAAAACGACTATTTAAATTAAAACCAGGGTAATTACTATTTCTTACGATCTAACGGCGAAGGGAACTGTGCCACGGGAGAAATAAAGACACATCTATACAGGCTAAGCATCTTACTTAAATGTCTGCCTTGTAAATGGGATATTATGCACATATGTAAAGGAAATACACAGCTTACAACGCCTTGGATGTTTTTGTGAAGGTGGATAATAGAAAGTGTTGCATAGCTGAATTCTTGATTCTTACTGTCTATCTACAGTATCTTTGTCTCTTTTTTGGAGGGCTTGTACACTGACGATCGCCTCATCTCCTACCCCCTTTTGAAGCCCCCTCTGGTATTGCTGAGTTGACAGAACTGCAGGAATGGTAGAAGCTTGAAAATGAGAGACCCTCCCCGCCGCTCTCTATCTCACTTTTCACGCTGTCTTTCACTTTCTCGGTTTTTGCCGAGCTTGTACAGGCATGCCTGTCAACCGAACGGAGGGTGGATGGGGGGCGCCGAGGGAGAGGAGTGGTCTGGGGTGAACAAAGGAGCACTGTCACTGCTTTTCAGGGGTTCTGGGCTGTGCAGGGCGAACGGAGAGCCGGGTGGGGGTGGCAGGAATGGCAATTAAAAATGGACGGGTGACCATTGAAACCAAACGTAGAGGAGGACAAGCATTGAGTGTTCAAACATATAGTCAGCCTCAAAAGAGCTGTGGAAGCTCTATGTTTGTCGTTCATTGTGCAATATTTGCCTAACCCTTTATCTGTGCAGCTGTGGCCTAAAAAAAAGCGAAGGAGAGCGTGTTGAATAGCCGCACAGCTGCTGGCGATTTGATGAGCGTCTATTACCACTACAGAGTCATCCTCCTGTGCTGAAGTCACCTCTCCACACAGTGTAATATAGAGCAGGGCAGGGCCAGATCAGGGCAAATGTTTGATTTGTCAAGCCTTGCTCATCCTTTCAGGGCAAAAACACAGCTAGTAGTCGCACAGTCACAACCCCGATGACTGGGAGGTGTTGTACTGTCATGCCGTAATACCCTTTGTACGTCTCACGGGTGCTGCGGGAAAGATAACGAAAAGTATTTTAATGTAATGATTGGAATCCACGACCTCGTCTCATCTTGTCAAATTGAGTTTTTTAAATGAAATGCGCTGCCTTCTGCTTTCGTCTGACTTTAGACAGTTCCATCTGGTGAAACGATTTCCTTATCGTTCTTCCTTCCCCCCTCTGTATTTCATAGGTTATCAAGGCGCCAGAAACAGCGCTAGAGCGAAGGAAGCTGTTAAAAGATGCAGCGCTGGGAGTCTTTTAAAGCCTGGTTCTTCTGGCGACTTGGCAGAGCTCAACCACGGAAGTCAAAGCGCTACGGGCCAAAGACGACCGATAAAGGTAACGAAATGCACATTCTGTGTCCTCAAATGGCTCCTCGGCAGAGTCTGCAAACGTGCATGCGCATGTGTGTATGAGTGTTGGGCAATTTGCCATGTGATCCAGGTGCAGAACACGTCGTTTCGTCTCCGGCTCATCCTGCACGCTCAGGCGTCAGTTCCTTGACTGATTATCTGTGCCTTCATCTAACCTCGTCATGTTAAACCGACATCTGAGACTCCCTGTATTTTACTCACTGCAATTACCTCACCGCAAGGCAATATGACTGCTATTATGAGTGAGTCTGGAACAATATGTCATCTTTAGGGTTAAGAGATGCAGCGCAAGAATTTAATTTTGAAATATAGCGTTTCCAAAACATTGCTGACGATGAAGATGTCTGGCATTATGTAAAAGTTAGTTTTCAGATAGTCTAAAAGAGTGACAATTAAACATGAGCATGCAGTGATTTGTAGTTGCAGCAAGGAACAGTTTAAAGGGATAGTTCACCCAAAAATGGTTCACCCATTAATTACTCACCCTCATGTCGCTCCAAACCTGTAAGATCTTTGTTCATGTTCATACACAAATTAAGATATTATTTTGTTTTCTTTGCGCACAAAAAGTGTTCTCATAGCTTCATAACATTACGGTTGAACCACTGATGTCACATGGACTATTTTAATGATGTCCTTACTATCTTTCTGGGCCTTGAACATGCCAGTTGTGTTTCAGTTTATGCAGGGTCAGAAAGCTCATCAAAAATATCTTAATTAGTGTTCCGAAGTTGAACAAAGGTCTCACGGGTTTGTAACAACATGAGGGTGAGTAATTAATGACAGAATTTTTATTTTTGTTTGAACTATCCCTTTAACCAAATCACTTATTGCTCTTTATGTCGTTCCAAAACAGTGGGTTTTTTTTATGCTGACTGCAAAAGAAAAATGCATGAATAGTCTTTATAGTGAACATGTCTTTTGAACTCCAAAAAGGACAAAAAATACCATAACAAATCATAAAAGTGATCCATACGACTTGTGCTATATAGCCATATGATTCAGAAATTTAAATTCACTAAAACTCTTGTTGCTGGTTGGAGGTATTGACACCAAACAGGATATAGTGTCCAAAATTACTTTTACAGTGCTTTTATGGTGTTTTTGTCCTTTTTTGAAGCATTACAGACAGTCGTCATGTAAAAAGCGGTGCAAAATAACAGCATGATGGTTCTGGAACGACATGAAGGTGAGTAAATACTGACAGAATTTAGTTTTTCTGTGCACTACTCGTTTAAATGTTGCTTGTGTGCATGTTTTTTTACAGCGCTGCCCTTAAATCCAAAAAGATCAGAGTTACCGATCAGCCGTTTCGTTTAAAGTGTTTGCTTTCCTCCAGGGCCAAAAATGTTGCATTGTGCTGCCAGTTAGTGTTCCCAAGACGAACTCTCAGCCACTTAGTCTGAGAGCATTCTTTATCCATACTAAGAGCTTGAGTAAATTATCTCTAGTTTGTCAAGTGGTCAGACAGACTGGCCCTGAAGGATTATAGGTAACACAGATATAAAAGCTGGATGGCCGGAAGGCTATAATTTCTCCTTCCTTTTCTATCCTCCATTGGACCCACCCTCTCTCGCTCTCGTCCCTTGTAAAAGTCTCAGCAGACTTTGCCGGGAGACTAGTTAAAGACACTGGGTGTCTCTTTTTCCAGCGGACACTTGCTACATTTCCTTATTTTCTCGGTCCGCCCTTTTGTAGACCCCCAACACGCCTCAACAAGTGTTTAAAAGCTACTTTTATTCCCTCTCCAGCTGTTGTCTTCCTGGATGGGATTCACTCAGCCGTTTGATTCCTTTTCTCTCGCACCTCAGCCTCATCCTCTCCTGCTGGGTTAACAACGCACCTCCGGCCTTTGACTACTGTTGCGTGGCAGGTGAATCCAACTCAAAGCTCCCTCTAAATAAGTGGGACTGGACGCGGGGGTTGGGGCCTGTCCTTGAAAGCACTAATTGAGAATCTAAAACTCTGCAATTTTAGATCTTTCTCCGCTAGCATAATCTACCCCTTATTTGTAAGAGTTCTGCCTCAAGTCTCCACTTCCATGCTGGGAAGCCCCAAGGTCCACTCACCCTATTCTACGCACCCAGCAGGAGGGTAGTTGCTAGCATGCTAGCTGGTTTTTGCAAAGCTAACGGTGCATTACATGGCGTATTAACAGACACGGCCCTCAGAGCATTCATAAAATCACACTGCGGAGGGACGGCTAACGTTGTCCTGTGGTAATTGGCACAAGCTTGGTGGGATTTAGAACTGTCAAGGACGATTTTGGGGACGGTTGAACAAAGTGGCAGAGCTCACAGAGCGCATCACCTTTGTTTTTTAGAAGAAGCACACAATGTTGAGGCCAGTTGTAGATTAACATCTACAAAATCTAGATATGCTAGACTGTCTAAACAAAGTGTGACTGGTACAAATTCAGTCAAACTAAATAGATTATATTAACATCTTTAAAGACAATTTATTGCTTTAGTCTGTTAATGTTAACTGTTAATGTGCATGAGAACAGTTTAAACAAGAAATGAACATTTTGAGAAGTGAGGAATGCAAACCACACTCAAAACACCTGCTTTCCTAGCTAGCAGGGAACGTTCTCATAACTTTCATTAATGTTTTAATATATATGTTAAGGTTAGTAGTAAGGTTAGTATGATGTTGTAAGAAAAGTTTTTGTAACCTTTAAATAATGCTGTAATCACAACAAGAAAACTGGGCATTTCAGCGTTTTAGAATTTTTTTTTTTTTTCAAAACAATGTTCCCCCAATGTTTTTATAATCTAAACTTGTTACCTGCTTTAGCACCACTTGTCAAAGTGTTCCTGTAGCTCAACTGGCTAGCATGGCGTTAGCAACGACAAGGTCATATAGCCAAATGTTTATCTTAAATGCACTGCAAGTCACTTTGGATAAAAATGCCAGCCATAAATGTTCACACCATAGCACACGTGCTAACCACTAGGCTGCGTTTTACAAAAATTGTGTATATTTTTGTAAGTGGGAGGATAGTTTACCTGCTACTTTACAGCATGCTAAATGAGCGTGTTTCCCGGGCCTGTGCTAATTAGGTAGTTGGGCTGCGGGACCTGAGCGATAGTTACCGGCATGAAATCTGGACAGCTTTACTACCTCCGAGAGCAGTGCCAGGGCCACAGGCACTTGACCATAGAGAGATTATCTGGGCTTTCTTTTCTCCCTGCCTGCCAATCTAAGCACAGCCAGCCATTTCACTTATCACCGGAGGTTAAAAACCACTGGCGAACCACATTGTGTCTTTATCTTGGTAGTTCGTACTGTAGTGTTTGAAATGATCGTAGCATTTCAGGGAAACCTGGATGGAATCTGAGAACGGTATTCCTACTAGGTTCACGAACCGCTTGAAATCCTTGGCTCCGTGGAGGCTTGTTTTGGACACAATGGTGTTCAGTACATTCCCGACTTGTTTCTTTCATAACGTGCTGAACCTTCGGATGGACTGAAAGCTCTTTAGAGCCCAGGGTTTGCGAGGGGACAAAAGACTCTTCACATTACTGTGTTAATAGAAAGACCTGGAAAATCTCCTCAAACGGCGTCCTTTCTATAGCAACTTCATGTACATTCATACCCTCGCTTGTACACAAGGAAACTGCCATGTATTTTTTAACTGGATATTGATATTCTCCACATAAATAAAGCACTAGGTCAAGTTGTCTAGTCCAAACAAGCAACGTTGTAATCCAAAATTGATTAAACGAGCAATGCTACAACAGGCCCTCCTCGCCCGTAATGAATTTCGAGAGATAACTGGTCTCAAAGAGATAAAGTCGGTACAACCACGAGCCAAAGCGGTATAAAATGTGCTCATCACACTCAATTTGCCTAGCAAATTTGTAGCCATTAATGCTGCTGTGGGAAAATATATTGAGTTACTTACCACCTTGTGTCTTTGCTACCCAGGAGCTGCTCATGCGAGTTCAGGGTCATTACCCTCGCTGTCAATGACAAATGGAGCTTGATAGCATCTGCGTTTAGCTACAATGGAAACAGATTAATACCTTGGGGTGAAACTTTGCATATTACGAGGGGGAAGGAGGGGGCGCTCGCACCCTCTTCTGTTTTCTTTCGGCGTCCCATGTTTTGCAGCCCGAATAGTTGTTGCTCTCAAATGAGCTCGTTTTAATGGATCATTTGAAGATTTAGAGGGGAAACGGTTTGTTTGGATATGCTAAGAAGATGAATGCTTCTAAGACAAAAGATGAATCATTAAAGTAGGAAAAAACAAGCCTATGTTCTCCCGCTACCCTGCACTTTGCCTCCTGCTTCGTGACTGTCCCTGATATTGTCATTGTAAATTACAGACTATCAGGGGCCACGGAGCGTCTTGTTTTAGGAGACAGTCTTTTATTACAGCGTCTCCGAATTTATGACGCCCTTTCATCTTAAAACTTACCTCTGGATGCTCCTGCTTACAAACCATAACATTTTCTACCTCAAAGGTGTTTACGTTTGCGTGTAGGCCTGTGCATTTCTTAGATGCTTTTATCTAAAGTGACTTAAATTCATTGTGTATTGTTTTTCATTATGTTTACCAGTGTGTTCCCTGGGAATTGAACCCACGACCTTGGCACACAAAAGAATGTTTACAAATAGCAATTGCTACCTTGCAGATGTTTTTTTTCTAGGCCTGAGAATGTTTACACATTAATCGTATAACCCTATTTTTTAGTTTTGAGCCAGCCTCTCAGATTTCCGTAGGTTTGTTTTAGCTAAAACTGAAGATGGTAGTAATTTTATCTTGGAAAGTGTCATTGTAAATGCTGGAATTGTCTATGTTCGATATAAGGTTTGGGTGTGTAATGGCTGGTTTTCACTGAGGCGAATTTGTACTCGGTATAAAACTTGAAGCGCAAATGAGGGAGGTAACTGCAGTTATGTCGACGTATTTTCAAGTCGATGGCACACCCAGAGGATGGAGACAATTAAAACATCTAAAGCCTTGTTTAGACGGCTAATCTGGGTGGTCCAGAGCTTGGGCGACAAGTTACGACTGGTTAGCGCCACAATAAAGTCTAGAAAAAAATGAATCCGTATGTATGGAGGCTGGTCTGTAGAAGTCATGCCACTGTGGAGATATTTGAGGTTTTAAACATTGAATTAAAAGATAGAAATTGGCTCAGTTTCATGCAGACATTGATATTATTAAATTAAATGTATTTCTAGTCCTATGTGCACTGTAAGACTTCAGAGCAGTTTGTGGGTGGTCCTCGTTTAGGTTTCTGGCTTGTGTATATATTAGCTTGTGGAAGACAAAAATTGCGAGCCGCATGAAGTTTCCAAAATAAAAATGTTCATCAAGTTGTCAAGTAGAAGAAAGCGTGGAAAATGAAACAGGACGATTTAACATTGTGCAATTCAGTGCATCACATGGGTGTTGGAGTTGTAGGCATCTGTGAACAAATTAAACAAATCTTTATTCAAATTGATTTGGGGGATTTCAGTGTGTCTGGAGAGCAGAATTAGATTCTCAAATGTTTCTCCTATACAGTGATGAGATTAAAGTACCAGCAATGGAGACTTACATTGTCTTTAATTTTTATCAATTTAAAACAAAAAGACTCCTCTGGAGTTTCAGAAAAGATCTCAACAATGTGACAAACTGTGTTCAGATTTGTCAAGGTACCAAAGTTTGCTGTCAAAATTCAAGAGATCCAGAGAAGTCAGAACATTTGTAATCAATTTATTAATTTAAAAGCATCCAAACTAACTGATATTATAGAGCTCATTGAACTTGTCTCATATGTGTCTTTTTGATTTCCTCTAAGGATTTTAAGAAGAAACATCTGAGACAGAGTGGAAACATTGGAAATTATGTCTCCAGAGCTCTAAAGAGAAAGATCTGAGTGATAACATTTTCCTCTGATAAAATTTTTCAAGGTCAACATTTGGTTAAATTTTCTGGTCAATTTGATTAAATATTTTTTTCATACAGTTTTTATGCTAAAATACAAAACAAAATACATGACCTTTGACATCACAACAACAAGAGATGATAGGCCTATTTTATTGTTGTAGACAGATTTTATGGCAAAATACAGCATAGTTTGATTAGATACTCAAACTTTGACATCATGACAACGAAAAATGAAAAACGCTAATTTTTTACAATTAGAAAACATGCAATATCTCCATTCTGACTCCTCCTTTCTACATCTTCGCCTTTAATTTGTCTCCAACTAAATTGCTATTTTTGCCTTCAGTGTTTGATGTAGTTTCAGCTCTTGTCTCCCAGGTGCTCTTTGTGTCCGACAGCACCGTAGAGACTTGTGCGTTCTACGTGTTGTCAATTTCCTTGGTTCCTCTCTTTTCATCTTCTGTCACTGCTCCATGTGAGATTGGGCGTCACAGTGTTCTCACATTTACCTGGCCTTTGAGATATCAAAGGTTGACTGCCATCTGTCCTAGCAGGCTCACACAGACGCGTGAGACAGCGAGTTTCTCACTCAGGTGAAGCCGCTTGCCTCAGAGCAGCTTTATCTGTTACACACAGAGGTAGACCGTGTTAAAGAAACACACAAGGAAACAGTTCAGCACAATTAATTGCCTTTATCTTATAGATAAATAGGCATTTGACCACCAGAGACACTGAGAAAGGCACGTCACACACAATATTTAGATTATTGATGAGTCAACATGAGGTTTTCAGTGTCTTTTGAAATTTGATCTATATTATGAATGTTTCATTTCAACGTGCAGCTGCAGTTTCTTCAAAAGCTGCTTGTAATTTTGAATGTGGAAAGTCAGTTTGTTTGACTTGCAAATTTTGGTTGAATCGGTTGAACTTGCAAATGATACTGAAACCACATTGATAAAAACAGATATAACTTACCACTGCTACCTAGTGGCATTCAAATCAGAATCATGTGATTCATTGTAAGAGGTTATTTTCAAACTTCCTTTTATATTAATCTGTGAATTATGAGACCACTAGTCCAAAGATTTATGGTCTCAAATTACATTGAAAAATAACTTTTAATTATTTGATTTTATTAATTCGTTCATTTAATTAATTAACTTATTCATTTTCATCTCATTTTTTATCTTTTGTATTTATTCATTCATTCATCCTAATTTCTTTTTTTATAACATTTTCATTTATTTGACTCAAATTCGTTTCATTTTTTTAATTAATTCATTCATTCATTCATTTTAATTATTTATTTATTCATACATTTATTTTCATTTCTTTTGTTTCTTCATTTATTCAATAATTTTCATTACATTTTTTCTATTTACTTATTCATTTTATTTACTTATTTATTTTATTATTTATCTCATTTATTGATTTATTTTCGTTTCATTTGAATATTTTTCATTCATTCATTCATTTTCATCTAGTTTTGTTTCATATTTTCATTCATTTTCATTTCATTTATATATTTTATTAATTTATTTGTATCTTATTTATTCATACATTTATTTTCATTTCATTTGTATATTCATTCATTCATTTATTTTCATTTAATTATTTTCTTTTATATGTATATATTTATTCATTTTATTTGTATCTCATTTATTAATTTATTTATTTTCATTTCATTTGTATATTTTTGTATTTATTCATTCATTAATTTTCATCTAGTTTTTGTTTCATATTTATTTTTCATTCATTCATTCATTCATTAATTCATTTCAATTTGATTTAATACATTTTATTGATTTATTTGTATCTTATGTATTCATTCATTTTTTGTTTCTTTCTTTCATTCACGCATTAATTCATTTATTTTCATCTCATTTTTTACTTTTATATTCATTAATTTGTTCATTTTAATTTCATTTGTGTCTTTTTCATTCATTCATTCATTTTCATCTAATTTTTATCTTTTATATTTATGTATTCATTCATTTTCATTAAATTTGTCTTTTCATTTATTTATTCATTTATTACATTTATTATATTATACATTATACTTTATTTTAAACTTTTTCATTTTTACCAAATAATATTATCTGAACAATACATCTGCATGAGAACCAAAATTGTGCGAGATATCACGCCTTGTTTTCAGAGAACATATCTTTTTGTGTGAAGTTTACTTTTCTTGCCTCATTGGCAAAATGTTTAAGCATAACTCTAACAAAATGTAACAGAATTTAGTAAAGCAGAACTCCTGCCAAGAGACGGGAATCACGGGCTCCCCTCACGCTGACCCCTCCAAGTGTAGAATTTGTACACACTGTGAGTGTTTGCTAAAGGAAGTCCAGAAATCGTTCAACTTCCTTCTAAAGTGCTCGGAGAAATCCTTCACATCCTCCACACCCTTAAATGATTTGTTAGAAAAAGAAAGATGACCCAAAATGCACCGGCTCCACACTTTTTCCACAGATATGGAGCTTAAGTCTCATCAGTCTATTAAAATACCATTCTTCTTCCATACATTTTGAAAGATAAAAGAGCACAACTTGGCCGTTTTGTTTCATTTTTTGCTCTCTCTCCCCGTCTCTCTCAGGTCCAGACATGAAGGAGACAGCGTCTTGTCTGTGGCATCTCACAATGAGAAGAGCTTTCAGCGTGTCGCGAGGTAATTACTCTCCTTGAGGGAGGGCGAAAGCTGTTTATTGTAATTATGTCAGAGAAATGAAGAAGCATGCTTGTGAGATGCTCAAACATTGTCTCAACATATTTGGGGGGAAATTTTCCTGAGTTATGTGTCTACATAATACCCCGACATCACATTCCCAGCCAGCTATCACATTCACTTGTGTTTAGACCGTCAGGGTAATGATGTGCTAATGCTTGTGAAACCGCATCGTGTGTGTGTGAGTGTGTGTGTGTGTGTGTGTGTGTATCGGTCTACCCTGAAGCCCATGGCCCCATACACTCGACGGCGACCGTCCCATCCACACAATAGAAAAATATCCTGCTTCTCTCCATAACAACAGCCCTGCTGAAGTGGCGGGATTAGAACATGCCAGCCCCAGCCAGGGGTTGCCATGGGAAAGAACCTCCTTTATTCTGGATCTGTTTTCCATTTACCCTGCCGGTCGGGGATCGAGGTTTTATGTGCTTACACTATCAATGTTTGGCCCATTAATTCACATCTGCAATTATAATGTCCAATTAGAGGCCAGGTTGGCTCGCCTTTGTGTTATGAAGTCAGAGGGGGTTGGAAAACAGTGTAATTTTAGACCAAAAGGGGCATCGGTTTGTGTTGCGATTATTTTATGCCCGCAGGCTAACGGGTTAATAGCGAGTAGGTGATAGTAGGGTAGTAGAGATTGCTAAAAGAAATGAAGGAGGGAGTCACAACAGGAACACAGGTATTGAGGGACTGGAACGCCACATGAATGTAACGTTTGGTAGAGAAATCAGAGCTCTAACAAAAATAACCATGGTTTTACTACAGTGGTCTAACTATGATTTTTGTTGTAAAATCACAAAAATAATCATGATTTCACTACAGTAACCATGGTCTATGATTTTTCTAGAAAAACAGTATTAGCTACAAAAATGACCATGGTTTTACTACAGTTACAGTGTTTCCCCTAGGTTTA